TTAGCAGTAGGGTTTTTTGTGTATAATCTTCTCTTTTTCCATATTTTGGCATCAGATTAATATATGTTTACTTGCACACACCTGTAGAAACTTCTTTTAAAATCAGTTTCACTGAGTAATAATGAAAAAATCGTGACCTTAAAGCAGTTTTATTTAAATCTGATGAGACAGGATACAATACATGATCAAAGAATATTAAGCATGGCTGAAATAAGGTTCTCAGGGGTTATTACATTCAGGCCTTCTATCAATCATTTATGCTGCTTTCCTTCTCTTCAGGAGCTCTCTCTCTCTTAACTCTTTTCAGACTGTCTCTACAGAAGTCCTTCATTCTCACCAGAAACAAAAGGAATAGAAAAAAATATATATATATATCCGTTTAAATAAATTTTATGTACTGTACACCAATGGTATACGCTGTCTACCATTACAAAGCAATTCATGGGTGCTCTAGTTTCACAAAATTAATTTTGAAAGTCTAAATTGACATCCTGTGATCAGATAACGCACAGAACTACATTATCTGGCTCTTGATTTCTTATTGAGAAATAAAAAATTTGGCTTATTTAATGAAACTCCATTCAAACAAGACATGTGCCAAGGCAACCCAGTCTTGTTACTTTGATTGTATATCAAGTGAATAAGGAAATCAGGGCAAGAAGCCTACGCACTTTTCATCAATTTGCAGAATTTTCATCAACATGAATCTAAAGTCCAGAGATTGTCTTAGATATAACAATACTGTCACTACACAAAGGTTAGGAAAATAATTATGCATCAGATATGACAGGTGCTGTATGAAAAACAATGGTAATTCTATAGAATTCTATTTAAAGTCTATGAGAAATAGATTAATAGCAAATCTCAGCATGCATGGATAAGAAAATTTTTAAGGCCACAGGCTGTTTTAGAAGGTATGCCCTCTGGGGCAAATCACACATAATTCAGATCTGTTACAAGATTTTGAAAAATTAAAGCATGCAGGCACATATGAGCAACTAATTGAAAAAAAGAAACCAATGACATTTCATTCACATGGTAAGACATTGGATGAAGGAAAAACAACTGAAGGAACAATAAATGTAGAAAGAAAAACCCCTTTCTTACCAATATCTTGTTCTGTCATAGCATCTTCTCTGCCAACGTATGTTCGGCCTTCCTAATTAAGACAAAATATACGTAATTTTCACTCYTTCCTTCCCCTGTGAAGAAATAACTAAACCTTCCACTTTCTTACAGCATCCTGGACCAAGAACGTGTTTATACATACATGAAAGAATCAGCTAATGCTTTAGGAAGACTTTCATAGAGCAATATTGTTAGCATATTGCTACCAAACTCAAGACTTATCTATCCTGCACAGAACCACCTTTGTGGCAATCTAGATTAGGATTTCAATTTAAGCTTTACAAGGAGAAGAATGAGAAACTAATACACATGAGTAGGAATATCATCAACTGCACACATACAGCAAAACAGCAGAATCCCAGGATAAATCTAAGCAATAAATTGACAGATCCCATAATATGAACCAGTTACAACTTCTTAACAGCTTAGCTAATCAGACAGGAAGTATGTAATGAACACTTGCTATACTTAGATAGCAAATTAATACTATAATTTAAGTTGTCTACTCCAGAAACCAGGCACACGAACGTTGTGGAAACACAGACACGTATTTACCTTCAAGTGATACAAGATGATGCCAGTACTAAGGAGATCATCATCGATGCCAATCAGATGAGGCAGTTCAGAATCCAACACAACACCTATCCCCTCCTTCCTGAGGGCCAGGGTTTGTTCCTGTAGTGGAGAAAAGTACATTAATATATGCAAGAAATCCTGCTCTTTGCTCTCTTTCCAAGTCATGTTTAATACAACTTAATCTATGTGGTATCACAAAAAAAACTCAAGCAGGAGACTTGTGTTGCAGGTGGTTTTTGTGTTTCCAGGAGTGKTGCAAGCCTGTTGTTCAGGAAGCCTGTGAAGGTGTTTCTCGAAAGGAGCCAGACAAACAACTGACTTATACCAGATAAGAAAGATCAAACAAGAGAATAATGAAGGCAAGTTGACTGAAAGCAAACAAGGCACCACCTTACGGGACAGTTAAACAGAATTAAAACTGCACAAAATTCAGTATAGCAAGGGAACGCAAACCTGAACTTTACTTGGCATTTCTTTAAATTAACTGAACTTACCTCAATAAAACAAATTTAGACACCTGGAAGGTCTAAATAGTTAAAAGACGCCCCATTATATTGGAAATATTAGCAATAAATAAATGCACAAAGTATTTGCAGGATATGGCTTCAATTCTTCAAAATTTCCCCAGGCTGAACTGTGCGACAGCTACTTGTAGGATTAAGTATCATTCAGCAGAAGTACAAACGGACTAACTTAACCTTGAATGAAAAATCATTTTTAGTAATAGCTTTGATGTAATATTAATTAGATTAGGTGTGCAATAAATAAGAGATTAAATATAGCTTTGAAATAAGTTTTAAGCATTTATAAAGCTCATCTTTCACGTTGATACCAAACCCTATTGGCTTCTAGGTATGGGAAGATAATKGCCACAGAGACTGTGAATTTCTGCATATATCATCCTTAAAATGAGTCAATTTTTCTATCTATGTCAATAAGCTGTTAGAGCTAAGGACTGACAACTCAGCGTGGGGAGGTACCAAACCCAACCATCACTGCTACATATTTTGCATATGTATATATATATGTATATATGTAAAAACAGACCCAGGAAAAGCTCTGCTAATGGATGAAATAAAAGTTCTGCAGAGTCCAGAAAAAAAAATGGAAAACAGAAAAAAACAAAATGAAAAGCTGTGATTAATGCTGCCCTGCAGCTTTGCGACGCTCAAACTGAATTCAGCTGCTCCTTGATATTATAAAAGCGTCCGTCACCCCATAAAACCAAAAAACACAGCTTAAATCACCGTTCAAGTGAAAGAGTAATTCAGACAAAAATATCCTTCACATATTAAATATTTACTGAGTGGCATCTATTGATATACATAATTTATAATGCTCCTGTATCATAAGGCTGAAGACTTAAAATACTGAAGCCCAGTGGCAGTTGACACAATTGCTGTCACCTTCGTCCCAACAGGAGCTGAAAAATATTAAGGGCTAAACATTTTTTTTCCAGCATAACAAAATATTTGTGAGCGTCTCTAACTGAGGAAAAAATAGAGTTCCCAGGAGGTAAGGAAATTATCACTGGGTGAGGAAAATCTATCACAAATAATTACGAATAAAGAAAAAAAAGGCTTCCTCATTTGGGGGATCTTTGATATTAATGGKTTTTTTTATTATTATTATTATTGTCTGTTGCAAAAAAAAGTGCAATTTTTCTTTCAAGTGATGCATTGCTTATTTACTCAGATCCAAAAATCAAAGAACACTAATTGCATTTCTAAATCCTTTGTAAGTGACTCACTCATGCACAGGATCTATCCTTTTGATGCAAGCATTGCAAATGCAGTATGTGTAACAGGCAATAGTTGAGATTAGCTACATTTTTTTTCTGCTAATCCCTACTGTAAATTAGCTTTTATCTTTGGATATAATTTAATAGAAGTCCCTAATCCGAATTAGGTATCTGGAGTTATCATGTCAATTAATACCTTATTCCAGATTCAAAAGCTTCTGTTTGAATACTCCAAATTCCAAGAMTAAATTTCAGAAATGCTATCACCAAAACATCCTTAAGTATGTTCTTCAAAAACAAAAGAAGGACGAAAAAAATGCAAAATGACATAACTCTATTGCCTCTCTTTCATCCTTACTACCATAGGAAGGGCAGAGACCTCCTTCAACTGGGTTTGATCCAAAATTTGATTCATTCTTGTCTGTACAGTCGAATTTTAAAAAGCAATGAACTCGTAAGTGAAATTACATGATTGGAAAAAGCCATTGTCCCTAATGAAAAACACTAATTCAGAAAATTCAAGATACTAGTTATGAAGTCTGAACGAATTGCAGGGATCTTATTTCAAATTATCCCTGGTCCAGAAAGTGTACGCAAACTCCTGCTGTATTTAAGATGCATCAATAACCTGTGGAAAACAAAGCAAGCCAAAATTAGAGAAAGGTGACTCTCCAGTGAATTTAAGGTAATTGAAAGGTAACTGTGTGAAGAGGACTAATATCCTTCTTCTGGAGTCGCAAGATCAAATGGTTTCATTTGAAGAAACAACAGAATTCTGATTAGCTGCATAAGAAATCACTTTTCAGTGCTAAAATAAAACAATTTAAATGCTCATCTTTTGAAATTCAGTTCCAAGTCAGGAGTCAGAAATATCCTGCTCTATTTGTGAACAACTCTGTGACAGATCCAACAGCTACTATGAGATCTCCTCCTTTCTCCAGAGCTCTATTCAATTTCCTCTATTAACCAGAAATGGAAGGATTTCTAAGCCAGCAAGGAAGAGATGTCCTGAGAGCTCATAATACAGGTGAAATAAAAGCAAAACCTCTGCTGTTTTCTACTGCTACTGATCCAGCACACATTAATAAGTATATGTAATTATTACATTGCCCTTTTAATGAACAAAATCTCTTGGAACAATTTAATTTCTATTATGTTTTCCAATGCAAAAGCTCAATTCTTTTATTTAAATATTGAACAGCTAACTGCTGGCCCTGAGTTTAGAGGAAGCACAGTGAGGATGTTTTCATTAAAAACAGAATATATTGCCGGCCAACTGTCCAGATGTCTATATTTAAATTATGCAATAATGCATAATATCTAATTAAAAATTACGGGTTAAAATAGGTAATAGCAGAAATCTTGCATTAATATTTAACTAGACTCTAACTAAAGCAAATTCTTTTGCTAAAAGGTATCTTGGGTGCATTTGATGTCATTGCAAATCCRCTATTGTAGTGTGAGTTCACAAAAATATCTGAACTCCCTCAGTGGCCTAGCGCTAAGTTCTCTATAAAATACACCCAGAAACCCTACACAGAGGAAGGTCTTAATTCTTGCTTGTTTTTTTCCTCTAGATATTCTGGCCAGTTTTCATTTCCTCCCTCACATTTGTCCCTCGGAGCAGCACTCCACGCCGCTCGACGTTCTGCTCGGCACCTGAAGGGCTTATTGCAAAACCCAGCAGATGGGCAGAATTAGAGAGGAACAGGAAGAAATGGAAAGGAAACAGCCTCAAGTGGTCASAGCCAGAGTGGAAAAAAGAACCCAGGGCTCAACTCACTGAAACCAGCAATTTAGATAAGCCCATCCCAGGACGCTGAATCACAGAGTGGTTRAGGTTGGAAGGGACCTTTCCTGCGGGAGGATCCCTGCCCACTTGCCCCACGAAACCTTCTTCCCACACAGCTTACACATTGAATAAATGCTGCTCAGCCACAGGGGCATCTAATCTGACCCGCTACCATGTTTCTTTAATTTTAAAGGACGGGGATGCTAGAATTTGATTTAAGCTTAGATTTGCCAGTGGTTCAAAGCATACACCCTGTAAATGCATTTTAGAAATGTTCTCATAGAAAGCCTCAGTCTCCTCTGAGCATGGATATTTCTTTGTCTTTAGAAGTTTCTTACATAATGAGTTCTTCTGCTTTTATGCATTAAAACCAACCTCAGAACACAATTTCCTCATGCACATCTGCTGCTTTTTATCTGATGAAACGTTCTCYTTCTTCTGTGTTCTGAAGGAATAAGAAAAATCTCACTACTTTAAACTCCAATTTGTGGCAAAAGAGCCACGTAATAATTCATTACCCAGTGTGGATCTGCTTTTGGAGAGTTACCTTGCTAGGAATCRCTGCAGAAAAATGGAAAACATGGAAGCAGCACTTTGGATTTGCAGAGAAATGGCTCCTTTCCCGATCAACTCCCCAACTTTGAAATCTGGGAAACCCTGTAAGATTCCTTGTATTTTGTAGAAAACAAGAAAAAAAAGATTTCAGGGGTTATTTTTCCTCTCTTTATTTGTGCTTTATTTTTGTCACTAGTATGTCTTCATTCAGGGATCTTCTTTGATAATRTGCAACTTATCTTTGCATAAGCAGGTACAGTAAATCTACTGGTTATACCTCTATTCAGAACTCCATATTTTAATAAAAAAAAAAGCTCTGTATACCTTAATCAGTAATAGATAAAACTCACACCATTTAATTTACATTAGATAAAAAACCCTGAGCAGATCTACACACTACCCCTTGACTAAAGAAATTAAACCCTATTTACTAGCACCAACAATTTTTCACTTTGACTTTGTTAACTTGTAAATCCTTTCTGCATGTAGCTGCAGGTTGTCATCCAGTCATAAAGCCAGACAACCTAAATTATAGATCAGTGAGGTTTTACAGAATAAAACCCTGGAATTGTTTTGCTAAATAAATTACTAGAGCTTTCATCGAACAATTGAAGTACATGAGCTAAATTATTCTGCAATCTTCCATTAATATTACTTTGACACCCTAATTTATCAAATAATCAAGAACTCCGATCAACAAAATATTACCTTATTACAGAATGCATCATCTGCACATTCTACAGAATTCTAAGTTATCTTTAATTATGTCATTTTCCTCCATTGTCACTGGGATATATCTGAYGTTTTTTCTCTATCACCCCACATACGGTGGTGGATCTCTATCTTTATCCATGCTAATCAAGCATTCTTGTGAAAAGATGAGTGCTTTTAACATAAATAAAAACACACTTTTCATCACTGTTGTTCCCCATTTCATTAAAATAGGATATTTTACCTATTTAGATACCTTTAGGTACTTATTTACCTRTTTAGATAGGTCAAAATCCTCCA